ATTCTCCATAATTGATCGACGGCGATGGAAACTGCGAGCAGCAGCTAATCGAATCGAGCTTTCTGATTCTCCATAATTGATCGACGGCGAGGTTAGATATTAGTTTTTTTGATTCTTCCTGTTTAGCTAATCGAGTTTTCTGTTTATCTTTGGTTTCGTTGAGCGTTTTGACGATCTCTGGTTTTGTTGGAGGTTTTTCATTGCTGCTAGTCGAGCTTGTTCATGTTTAGCTAATCGAGCGTGTTTGAGTTTCTCTGGTTTCGTTGTAGGTTTTGTAGAATTTACTTTCTATGAGTTTCTTTTGTGTGTTCTGTTTAGCTAATCGTGCTTGTTCATGTGTTATGGTTTTTTTGCAGTATTCTGGTGAGATGAGTTATGTAAATTGTGGCGATGTTGTTCCATTTATAGATCCGGTTCTTCAACCAGCGTTGTAGGATCTGGTTCTTCATCTAGCGTTGTTGGAACTGCTTCTTCATCTATCGATCTTGGATTTGGTCATTCAGCTAACTCTGGTGAATCAGGAGGTAAGATATACAAATTTGTTTGTTTATTGAAGTTTGAATGTGTTAGATACCATATGGTACCATGGTGGTAATTACTGGTATACGATGAGAGGTGATAATATAGTGGTGTGTTGTGATGGTATTGTGGTCTGTATTTAAGTTTTACCATATCATACCATGGTGGTAATTACTTGTACCATGGTTGGAATCATCGGTATAGTGTCGTAATTTGATTTACCATGCCTTACCATGTGGTATAGTGTGGTAGTTTCAAGTTAAAGGTGGGGTTATGTGTGATAATTGATTTTACCATGTCATACCATGTGGTAAAATATGGTAATTTGATTTTACCATGCCTTACCATGTGGTATAGTGTGGTAGTTTCAAGTTAAAGGTGTGGTTATGTGTGATAATTGATTTTACCATGTCATACCATGTGGTAAAATATGGTAATTTGATGTTATCATGTATAGTTTGTGGTATAATGTGGTTTTTTGGGATTTTTGTTGCTGCTGTAAGTGATTTTACCATGTCATACCATGTGGTATAGTGTGGTAATTTGATTTTACCATGCCATACCATGTGGTATAGTGTGGTAGTTTAATTTTACCATGGCATACCATATGGTATAGTGTGGTAATTTGATTTTACCATGCCATACCATGTGGTATAGTGTCGTAGTTTGGTTTTATCATGCTATACCATGTGGTATAGTGTGGTAATATGATGAGATGTGATTCTGTTGTGGCATGAAATTCATTTTACCATATTATACCATGGTGGTAACTCTTGTATCATGGCTGTAATTATTGGTATACATTCAGATTTCATACTGTTGTGGTGTGGAATCCATTTTACCATATCATACCATGGTGGTATTATATTTGTACATATTTAATATGTTGCTTCATAATGTTTATAGGTTTCAATGGTATAGATCCTACTGTTCGTGATTCTTGGAAGGACTTACAGTTTAATACACCAGATGATGCATACAATTTCTATGTGGATTATGGGAATCATGAAGGTTTTGGTGTGAGGATTTATAACCAATCAGCGTGTCCGAAGCTCAATGGTGGTTCTTCAGCTGTATATTATATCGAGTATTGTTGCAATAAGGAAGGTTGCAGAAGAGGTAGCGAGAATAACCCTGATAATGCAGGTGTTGTTGATACGAATGTTCGTGTTCGTAATGTTCCAGAACTCAGGGGTGGATGTAATGGTGCTTATATACGAGTGAGGTGGTTTGAAAATTTTAAATGCTACAAGATCTATCGTTGGTATAATGTGCACAACCATGACATGATTCCCGAGTCTCTGCGTCACTATGTGAGATCCAGCAGACGAATGGCTCCTGTGTATAAGATGTTGGCAGAGGTGAATGATGCTGCTGGTATTGGTGTGACTTCTTCGTATAATGCAATTAATAGGGCTGGTGGTGGTCGGAAGTTTGTTGGGTTCACAAAGAATGATTTGAAGAACCATCTGCGAACGGTGAGGACGTTATCAATGGAGTATGGTGATGCGACTGCATTGCTTGAATACTTTAGACGTCAAGCACAGCTGGATCCTGGGTTCTTTCATGAGGTGGAGGTTGATGTTGAAGAGAACATTGCTAGTATTTTTTGGGCAGATGGGAAGATGAGGATGGATTATCATTATTTTGGTGATTCAATTAGTTTTGATACTACTTACCGGACTAACAAAGAGTATCGGCCACTAGGTATGTTTTTGTAGTTTGTTGTTTATTATTGTCTTTGTGAGTTTGTATGATTATTATTATTATCATTCTGTATCATGGTTTGCTTTTTTGTTCTTAAAAGTATTTTACCATATGGTATGTGTTGGTAACAAGGTTATTTGAGGTGGTTTTTGCGTTGTTAGAAGTCTGTACCATATGGTATGGGCTAGTATGGATTGTGTTTTTGTTCTTAATAGTCTTTTACCATATAGTATGGGTTGGTAACAAGGTTATTTGAGGTGGTTTTTGCGTTGTTATAAGTCTGTACTATATGGTATAGTCTGGTATGGATTGTTTTTTTGTTCTTAGAAGTCTTTACCATATGGTACGGATTGGTATTATTGTTATTCGTACCTTTTACCACATGGTATGTGTTGGTAGAATTGTTTTTACTCACATTTTCTTATGTTTTTGTAGCTTTGTTTGTTGGTTTCAACAATCATCACCAACTGATTGTCTTTGCGGCTGCTCTTCTATATGATGAAACAACGGCAACATTTGAATGGCTTTTCGATCAGTTTTTGAAATGCATGGGAGGTGTGAGACCGTTATCAATGTTTACTGACCAGGCTGCTGCAATTGCTGCTGGTATAAGGTCTGTTTTCCCAGATTCTTTTCATGGGTTGTGTACATGGCATATTGCTCAGATTGCAGTTGTTAATCTGGGAATTTTGTGTGACTCTGACTTCCTTCGTGAGCTTAGTTATTTGATGTATAATGCTGATGATGAGGATGATTTTGAGTATAATTGGAAAAAGATGATTGAGAAGTGTTTTCTTGGGAAGGGACCTTTGGGACACAATTGGTTACAGGGCATTTACAAAGTCAGGAAGAAGTGGTCTTCAGCCTGGGTGAATAATTATTTTGGTGCAGGAATGAAGAGTACCCAGCTAAGTGAGTGCTGCAATAGTAATATTCGACATTACTTGCAGTCAGAGTTTAGCGTTAGTAGATTCTTTGTGCACTTTGAGAGGATGCTGGATAATAAGAGGGATGCTGAAGAACAAGAAGAGTACTATGCCTTATCTAGGTTGGCTGATTCTCGGTTTTCTACTAGCCCTATTGTGAAGCAAGTTGCTAATGTGTATACGCCGAAGATATTCAAGTTTTTCCTGGATCAGTACAAGGAATCACTTGCGTATAATATTTTTTCAAATACAGAGATAGAACCAGAAGGACATGTAGGAATGTTTGATGTCTTCATATTGGAGGATGACCTTACTAGGTTGGATAGTAGGGTGTTGAAGGTTGATTTTGATAACGGTGAAATCAAGTGTTCCTGCCGTAAGTGGGAGTCAAGTGGTTTGATCTGTAAGCATCAAATTAAGGGATATGATATGTTGTGGTCTACAATATGCAATCTGAAGTTCCAGCACATTCCTAGCAGTTTGATTTTGAAGCGGTGGACAAGAGCAGCAAAAACTGGAGGGAACTTTTCTTTTGAAGTTCCGTCTACTAATAGTCCATCGAAATACCGTTCTCGTCTTTTCAATCTGTCAGCTGTTTCTGCATCAATGATCAGCAGGGTTTCAATGGATGATGATTTGTATAAATCAGCCATGGCCTTCATGACTGATTTGATCAAAAAGTGTGAAGCCCTATCGATTAATGAACCTGCTGGAACAAGCACGTCTTCTAACGGTGACAGTAAGTTTTTAATTGTTTAGAGTTTTGTGTTCTGATATATGCAATTTTTTGAGGAGAATGATTTTATATGTATATATATATATATATCTCTGTCATTGATTGTAGTTTGTTTTTGTTATCTTGGTATAGATGATGTACCGGTCCAAAAAGTGAAGGGGTTTAAGCCTAAAAAAGATTCATTCAAGCCTTCGAAACGACCAATTCCAGTTGCGGAGGCTGCAAGGGCTGTAAGTAAGAAGAAGAGAAAAACTAGCAGGCTTGAGGAGGAGAATTTGAAGGCTGTTGAAGAAAGTTTAAGGCCGAAGCTGTAACAGTTTTCTTTGAGGATTATTTGAATGAATGGTTGAAGCTGGTTAAGTTGTTGAAGCTATTTTGTTCTTTTGGATTGGTTTGGTTTTGTTGGATATTTTTCTTGTCTTGTTGAATTAATTTTACCATGTCATACCATGTGGTATCATGTGGTATAATGTGGTAATTTGATTTTATCATGTCAAACCAGGTGGTAAAATGTGCTATTTTGGAAGTTAAATGTGAAGGTTCTGTTTTATAATTGATTTTACCATGCCATACCATGTGGTATAGTGTGGTAGTTTGGAAGTTCTGTGTGATAATTGATTTTACATTTGTCATACCATATGGTATAGTGTTGTAATTTATTTTTACCATGCCATACCATGTGGTAAAATATGCTATTTTGGAAGTGGCATGTGTTGTCCTATGTGGTAATTGATTTTACAGTGCATTACCAAGTGGTAAAATGTGGTAATTTGGAAGCTAAATGTGAGGGTTCTATGTGATAATTGATTTTACCATGCCATACCATATGGTATACTGTGGTAATTTGATTTTACCATGCCATACCATGTGGTATAGTGTGGCCATACCATATGGTATAGTGTGGTAGTTTGATTTTACCATGCCATACCATGTGGTATAGTGTGGTAATTTGATTTTACCATGCCATACCATGTGGTATAGTGTGGTAGTTTGATTTTACCATGCCATACCATGTGGTACAGTGTGGTAACTGATTTTACATTGCCATACGATGTGGTAAAATGTTGTAATTTGGGAATTAAGAACACATGTTAATTATTTGCTAACATAATAAAAAACAGAACGTTTTACTTAGTCATAACACACACCATAATAAGTTGTTTCATACCATCCTACTAACTATAATGAAGTGGCTACTGAACATTGTGAGTTTGTTCTCAAAAGCTTACTACTACTTAACACAAACCATAATAAGTTGTCTCATACCCTCCTACTACTTAACACAAACCATAATAGAATTTTCATCTCCTTTCTTTCAATTCTTCCTCTTGTTCTTCATGTTGCAGTACTTTGTTGATTCTTTCATGATCCTATCCCGTTCAAGATTGTCCTCATCCAGAATGATGTCCAACATTAGGCACTCCCTTTCTTCATTTATGAGATCAATCCTCTTCCAGTCTTTGGTCAGGGCACTGTTGTACTTACCTTCCCAGTGTCTCATCCACCTGATGATGTACATCCCAGATGACTTGTCATCTGGTTGTTTAACCTTCTCGAGGTTGAACCAGGTAAACTTTTCCCACTTTACTGTCTTCTCTGCAAACTGTGTCTTCATGTAGTTGATTGCGTACTGGACAACCCTCTTTGCCATTGATTGTAGTATTCTTCAAAATCTTTGTGACGGAGACTGTCGAGTACTTCAAATCTCTCTGCTTTGATGTTGACACAAATCATGATGTAGTGCTTGTTATCACAGTAAGGGAAGAACCACTGCAAAATAATTTTACCACAGTATACCATATGGTAAGCACTTGCCATATAAGTATTGAACAGTAAGTTAAGAACAATTGGAAACTAATTTTACGACTATATACCATATGGTAACCACTGCAAACTAATTTTACCACAATATACCATATGGTAACCACTTACAAGGTTACATTTTGTGAAGCTGAGGTTTTTTGCCCATTCTTTGTTGGTGATTTCTAAGTCCACTTTGTCGTAGTAATCGTCTGGAGTTAGTAGAGGATTGCCACTTTCAATGTCCAGTTGGCAATCACCCTGAAAGTTGTGGTTGTTATTATGTGTTTTATATATGTGTTGTCTAAGAACTATTGACAGAATATGGGTGGGGTTTACTTACTGCCAAAGATGTAACGAAGAACCACCTTTTGAATTTTCCTTTTTTTGCTTCATTCCTGTTCATTAGATCTCCATACCAGTCGATGACATCAGATGTGATTTCACAGCGAATGTCAATCGACTGTACTGACTCCCTTTTCAGCAAGAATGTTCCATCCTTCCTTCTAAACATTATCTCATCACTGTATAAAAGCACATCACAACAGGACGGATGGTTTACTTTAATTTATCACATTAAACAATAGGTTACCCCAACAAACCATATCTTACCACATCTTACCATATGGTAATAAACTAAAACACAACAGGAGTTATGGTTTAATCCATTCTTTAACAACAAACCATAGCTTACCACATCATACCATATGGTATTAAACTAAAACAAAACAGGACTTGTGCATTACTACATTTTGTAACATTAAACCATAGATTTATATAATCTTAACATAGCTTACCATATCTTACCATATGGTATTAAACCAAAAACAAAACTGGAATTGTGGATTACTACATTTTGTATGATTAAACCATAGATTTATCTAATTTTACCATATCTTACCATATTTTACCATATGGTAACAAACTAGATCACTACAGTAAAATCATATAACAGTAGAAGTTTTAAGATGATGACTTACCTCTTGACAAATTTCTTGTTTTTGCATCTTATGTACTCCAGGATGTTGCTGAACATATCATCAGGTGTTGTTTGTGTTGGTGTTGACCATTCAACTGGTGATCTTTGTGATTGTGGAGCAACTGGTTCAACAGTTGGAGTATTCAGGTCCTCTAGGTAAGCATCTATGCATTCACGCACTTCCTTGAGCTTCTCTTGGCTGTTTGTGACAGATTTGACCATATAGCATATGACTCCTTCTGTGACTGGGTGCTTTGTGGTTGTGTTGGTGGTGGTGTTCTTCTTGCCTTCTTTTCATATACATTCAAATTCTTCACCACAATTCTTCTTTTGCGAGGCTCTCCTGGTTGATTGGTTGCCGTAGTCAACTTTGTTGGTTTTGTTGGTGTTTGATCTTTGAGAGGGCTGAGATCAAAGGATGGAATGTCATCTTCCCTTGTCACTTTAGGCTTCTCAGCAGCTTTGGTTGTCAATTTTGGAGTCTCTTCTCGAACAACATCATCTGACACCGTTTTCTCGCTGTCAGTACCTGTAGTCTTTTGTGCAGCTTGCCCTGTATTCCCTTCTTCTGTTGTTTCCTTATCAACATCCATTGGATCTGCTGTTTTTTTAGCTCCTTTTTCTTCTGTTTCTTTTGCAGATGTCTGTTCTGGAACTGCTTTCGGGGTGTTCTCTTGTTGTGGTGTACCCTGATTCAGACCTTCTTGAACAGCTGGTGGTTTTGTTGCAACTTTCCCCAGTGGATCTCCTTCTTGGATACTTTCCTTATTGACAGCTTGATAACGATGTAATTGCACATGTTTGCGCCCCTAGTTCTTATCCGTTTGAGGGGCATAGTCGTGTGTTGTGGCCTATTTTACGCCGGGTTGTGCTATTTTGTCATGTTTCAGGTCCCAGGTGTCAAAGGGAAGGCTAAGCGCGAGTTTCGGGGCATTTGGAAGTCATTTCGGTGAGCTGGAGCCAAAGCACGGGCAGCCTAAGGCATTACACGGCCGTGTACTGCTGGCCGTGCTTTTTATGCCGAGAGCAAATTCAGTTTGGCCAATTCAGCTGCAAACACGGGCACCGAAGCACGGCCGTGTTCAGTCAAAGCACGGCCGTGTACATTGCGAAGCACGGCCGTGTTTAACCCACTTGCTGGCCGTGTAATTAAGCCCTGGCCGAGGCACGGGCGGAGTCAGGCAAAGCACGGCCGTGCCCTCGACCGTGCTTTGGCCACTGATGCTTTTAAGCAGAGTTTCAGCCACAATTCAAGGGGATTCGAGTTTTTGAGAGAAAGAACGACTTCTAGAGAGAGAAAGTGACGAGCAAGAGTTCCCAAGTGCCCTAGATTGATCTTCAACACCATTGGAGGCCAGCTTGAGCTTGGAGAAGTGCCAATCAACGTCCAGAAGCAGGAATCCATCCTTCGCAGTATGAATTCCGTGTCTGATTCTGCTTTTGCTTTCTTCTCCATGGAGTAGTTCTCCCATTCATCTGGGTATGGAGAACCCTAGATTTGTATGTTAGGCTTTGATTGTATGAACCCAAGTACTGATTCTATGATTGATTATATTCGATTGAGGTTTTAATGATTGAATGACTTGAATCCTGATCAAATTCCTGTTGTTTCTGCTTTGACCTAGAATGAGAATATCTGCCTAGGTTGATAGAGCATCCTTGATTGAAGGTAGGGAGTTGGTGACTTTAGTCGAGGAGCCAACTCACTATTCTGTACCGGATTTACTTCGGTAGTGGAGGTTTTGTTTTTAGGGCCTCAATCTGTTTACTCCGGTGGAGGTTAGTCGCCCGCTAGAGACTCAGATTGAGAGGGTCTGAAGACCTTTAGTCGAGACTTCAGGCTGTTTAAGAACCTTCCGCAGTATAACTATCATAGAAACTGAACTTGGTAATTACAATCCGGCTTAACTGCAGTCTAGGGGGAACCATATCCGGGTGACCTCTTTAACCTGAATACAACAGTTTACTTGCTTTGTTAGTTTGATAGTTTAGACTTGCATGCCAGTCTCATTGCTAGATAACAAGAATTCACTGAGTAGTCATCACATCTAGGACCCGGGTTGATAAACCCAAACCCGCTATACTACGCTTTAGGAAGTGGTTTCACTTGGCCAATTCCTGGAGTGACAGAAGAGTCGAGTCAAGTTTTTGGCGCCGTTGCCGGGGACGGCTAGGTTGTTGAAGAAAAGTGATTTCTGTTAATTTAGCTTTTCTTTTTGCTTTGTTTGCTTTGTCCCACTTGTGCCTTCACGGGTTTGCTTGCTTGAGTGTGTGCAGGTAGTGCATGACCCGTAGCCAGTCAGGAGGTTTACTACCGTTGAATCCAGAGATTGACCGCACCTGTCGCCAGCTCAGAAGACAACAGCGAGCTAGACTGGCTACGGAAGAGCGCATAGACGGCCACCTGAGTAGCGATTCTGAAGAAGAGCACGGGATGGACGGAAACTACAACCAACACCAGGGGAATCCACAGCAGGTTCCCCCGGTGAATCAGGTCCTGGGGAACAACCCCATACCCCAGGACCATGGAGTTCATCATCCCCCGCAGCCGGGCCCCACCTTGGAGTACTACTACACTCCGCGGATTGCTGACATCCGCCCGGTCATCCTCTACCCACCTATTCCAGCAAACAATTTCGAGATCAAGCCATGCTGGATTCAGCTCATTACATCATCTATCCAGTTCCATGGCTTGAAGAATGAGGAGGCCAGGGTGCATCTTTCCCGTTTTCTGCAGCTGACGAACGGGTTCAAGCTGAATGGTGTCCCCGATGATGCGATCCGCCTTCATCTCTTCACCCATTCTCTGGCGGGGAATGCTAAGAGGTGGTTGGAGACCCAGCCCCCATTGTCCATCACCTCTTGGGACGATCTGGCGGACAAGTTCGTGCACAGGTATTATCCGGCATCGAAGACTACAGAGATTCAGCGGGAGATCACTCACTTCCGCCAGGAGCCAGATGAGTCACTTCGTGATGCTTGGGAGCGGTACATGGGCCATTTCTGGCAGTGCCCCCATCATGGCTTCAGTGATGCTTTCACTGTGGGGAACTTCTACAGCGCTCTCTCCCCAGATAGCCAGAGGGTGATTGAGTCTTTATGCCCAGGAGGGGATATTCTTACCAAGACTCCACCCGAGCTGAACCAGATGATCAGTACTTTGGCTGCCAGAGATCATTCTTGGGGACAAGGTAGCCGAGGCAGACAGTCCCGGGACCGTGGTGTGCACGCCATGGAGACCAGATCCGGGCTCGAGCAGCAGGTAGCTGAGCTAGTGCAGACATTGAAGCAGCCCAACAGTCTGATTCCGGGCAGAGGTTTGGCTACACCTCCAGTTGCTCAGTGTCAGTGGTGTGAGAGCTCCAGTCACCTAGTGGAGGACTGCCAGGCTATGAGGGAGTCTACCACACCCCAGGAGCAGTTGGCCTTCATCGCCAATGCGAGGCGCCTCGATCCATACAGTAGCACATATAATGAAGGGGGTGGCGCCAGCATCCCAACTTCGCCTGGAGCAGCAACACCACTAAACCACCTGGTTTCCTAGCACCAGCAGGTGGTTTTCAGCAGAGGCAGCCCTTCCAGGCTCGCCAGGGGCCAGACCCACAGCAGCAGCCCTACCAGCCTAGGCAGGGCCAGCCATTCCAGCAGCCCCAGCGCCAGTTTGCCGAGCCAGCAGCAGCTCCGGCCCCAGATGACAGGATGACGAAGCTGGAAAACATTCTAGCTTCATTCATGACTAGCACCCAGGCTGCTATCACATCACTGGAGGCAGGTCAGCGGAACCAGGGTGCCATTTTGCAGGATCTGCAGACCCAGGTGGGCATCTTGGCCCGCCAGAGCACCACCAGGGCACCGGGGACTCTGCCTGCCACCACTGTTCCTAATCCTCGAGATCCTCACCAGCATCAGCAGCTGGATGCCATTTTTACCAGGAGCGGTAAGACCATATCTGCTGATCCTGTCCCGGCCAGACAGGAGGAACCACTGCCTGCTCCAGCACTTCCAGCCGACAATGCAGAAGTGCGGGTGGAGAAGGAAGCCCCTGCTCCCAAGCCACAAC